AAGCGAAGTATAAGTTTCCGGTATCCATTCGATATCCCGAAGAATTCGTAGAACGTGTTCACGAATTTAACTACGAGGAGTTTGACGATTCCATATAATATGTTAGCGGGTGTTCTCGCACAACGTTCGAGCTTGGGAAAGTTCTTGGTCGGTAGTATAAACAGTTTCTAAGCACTTTCTCGTAGGAAATGTTAAGCGCTTCTGTACGCCAGATGTTAACTCTAGAAATTGCAACCAATTAGAGGTGCTTCGAAGCGTCGTTTCTCGATCTATATACGACGTTAGAAATTCTCTAGTAACTTGACGTTTGTTCAAGTTGGCGTGGTCCACTTGTCGGAACGACGAACAATTTCCTCGGGGAACAAAGTGGATCGCGAACGAACCGAATCGCTCGAAACTAAACAGAAACAAGATCTTTTTACGAGATTCCGTTTCGAGTGAAATTGGGTCAACGAACAATAAGTCGTTGCATTAATTCCAATTAAACGAATGGACGTAATTGGCAACTATGTTACGTCGTGCTCGTTACTTTATTTATGCAACCAACGGGTCAATTTTTGAACGCCATCCTACCATCTTTAATCCGACGAATTTACTATTTATAGTCGAGCTCCGTTTACACGCGTATCCCCTTTCTGATTGCAGCTAGATAGATTTTAATGGTCTCTGAATATTCTGTTGATCGCTGCAATTTGAAAGACAGTAACAAAGTGATCGATTCGAAAATCTTGTAATCCAAATACCAAACGTTAATGGAAGTAAAGTTATGTCCCAGTATCGAACGTATTCGGTCGAAAACAAATTAAGCGCGAAGACGTTGTTCCAGGAGGAAATACGAGTTGCCGCAACCGCAATATTACGCGGCTCTCTCTCTCGCTATTTATCCTCGCAGAGTAAACCGAGAGCAACAGCTAAATTTAATATTCCCGCGACAAACGGTTCTCAAACAGCCGCGTAATTGCACGCTAATTTCCCCGCAACCGCAGCTCGGATTACCCTTTTTAAGCGGCCCCAAAAATCTACTTCCGCGGACGAGAAACACGCGGAACTTTCTGCTGACGCGAGAGATTTGAAAGTTTTGGGATTTTGTGACAGTGGAATTTTCGAAGGTAGAGCTTGTAAAAAGGAGTACATTGTAGTTAGTACATTTAGTAATAGTTATCCTAGCGCTTGATAAGAGATTACCATATTTGATAGCATTTTGATAGAAATCTGCATGTGGAGATTTTGTTTGAATTAATATTTGAAGAACTATCAGGGGTGGTTATCAAGGTCGTATTTTCTAACGAGATGCGATCTTACGACACGTAGAAGAGATAGAAGAAAGGGTAAGCTCGACATGCAAACATCGTATTTCGCCGGCAGCGAGCAATTTCGGGGATGGATCGTTGTCACGCGCGCCGCAATTATCCCGGATATCCGTCGTCTGCTCGACGTTGAAATAATTACTTGGACCGTACAACTACCAAGAGAGTAGAATTATCGCGACAAGAGGCGGTAACCCTCGATTCGTGCGTTCCATGGATTCTCCACGCGATCCTATTCCATCAAACTTCCAACCGAATTCAAATATCTCGCCCCTGTTTTTTACTCGATTTAATCCGATATGGCAGTTTTACGAATCAACATTGTAAGAGTTGGAAATACAAATCCGTGAATTTGAAAACTGAGAATTAAGAAAGTAAAGTGAATTTCACGTACTCGTACCCTTGTTTCCAAGAATATCGAGGTATCCTTATAAAAGGAAGAGGAAAGAATCGATTACATCCAATTCCAATCAGTAAGGTATCAATTATTCATGAAAAAAAGCTGATGAAGCCGCGGAACCATCGTATTTGCGTGAAAGGGCATGGAAAGAGAAAAGGAGGAAGGGATGAAAAGGGGCGCCGTAGAGTCTGCGGCGCGGGTAGCGTGAGGCGCCGAGAAGTCCACTGCCGACAGCATTGCATCGACTAACGGACTAACCAGTCCATAACCGGTACGCACGCCACTCGCGAGGCTCGTAGGGCTGATAACAGGGCCACGACGAATGGAGGGCATCGAGCTCTAGGGGAGACCGCAATTAGGAACACCATCTTCAACTCACTGAACTTGAACCGGGAATCTCCGCAAACTTCCACTATATCGTTCTTCGCAAAACTATTTTCCTTCAGAAAAATTGCTCCTACGTTTCTTACTTTCCACCAAGTTTTATAGTCATCTGATTATCCTGTAATACGAGAACTTACTCTTTCTGTATGTTTTTACAAACTCGGGCAATCGGTTGCGAAATAGAACAGCGTCTCGACTTGAAAAATCTCTACATCGAAAATAAGCATATTGAAATTTCGTGTGGATCTTCGCACAGCAGAATTTGAAAATTGGGTCATCGAAATATTTGTCAACGGGGAACAATTTACTAATTTACCACCGTGAAAATATTGCGATATAATAATAAATTGTCGATGTCCAGAATTTTCTTGTACGAATTCCGCCCTGTATTTTTACCCGGAAAAATATGGATGCTCATAAATTCAGCTGCGCCACTAAATATCGATGTACCAAGCGGAAAACTACCCTGCCCCTCCACCGCCCTATTATTTTATCATTCGCTTTTTCCCCCACGAGTAACGATGGATCGACTGGTTTCACCCCCTCTTCCAATGGCTGGACGAGCAGAAGCATGTACATAATAGGAGAAGGTCTTTTCGAGTTCGTGTCACGACACAAGCCGGTCACGCACGCTGCTTATTTGTTGAAAACATGACGGTGCTTGCAGAAATAAATTGCTGCTCTGTATGATAACGACGAAAGTCGGTAGCTGTTTGCGAACAAGTTTGCGAATCAATTATGTTCCAAGAAATATCGTGTAACTTCTGTCGCTGCCGATCAAACTTGTCGAATCTTCGAAATTGTTTGTGGCTCGTTAAACATTCTAATGATCGTTCGGAGAAGCTTCGAACTTTTTAATAATTTCGCTCGCTCTCACCGCTCTCGCTCGAATCTCAAAATTTTCAATATCGTCGAATTTTAAGGTGTACCGACGAATTCTATCGCACTTCTATTTAATATTCTAAAATTTCCCAGTGAAAACAACGGTGTCAAATTAATTTAGGGAAATTTCAGGCCGGTTCGTTGTCATTGTCCGCTCAATTTAATTGCGTTCTACTACATCGCGTTGAAGCGAGCTCGGTGTGCAACGCACAGTAAAAGTTATCCATGTGTGATACACTCGAGTTTCACTCGGTATTTTCACAATTCCAATCTCGCTCTAAATTGTATTATACAACTTTATTCGAACGCAACGCGATTCCGCGTGAATTAATTACCAAACCGAATGATTAATTGTTTCGAGCAGGAAGAAAGTATGCCGGTAAATTAAAAGGATTCGTTGGTCGTAACCAGTCAATCGTATCTCGTATATTCGCGTTTCTTTCAAGCTCGTTTCGACGAGAGGGTCGAAATAGTTCGTTCGAGACCAATCCCGTGATCGATCGCGTTCGAGACGCGGAGAATCGATCTCGAGTTATCGCGCGTACGAACGAAAATTCTTTCGTCGCTTCGGTACAGGAAATTGCTTGCTTGCACGTAGTTTAAAAAAAAAAAAAAAGAAAAACTGACGGGTTCGAGGTTGGGGCAAACAACGTTATCGAGTCGAATTCCCCGCGAAACAGCCGCGGTGACATTAATATTCATCGTTTCCTCGACGAATGATAAAAAAAGAACACACGATTTGTTTCTAACGTGCGCGTTTCACCGTCTGCGACCAGCTTGAAAAGTATTCGATACCGTTATATCTTCCTATCGAGTTATATATAGTAGGCTAATCGATACGTTCTCGCGAACAGTTGCCCATTTTTTGAACGTTTCTACGTGTGTCCGGGGTAATTAATCGCGAAGCTTTTCAGAGCGTGCGGCGATATTTTTAAGGCGCTTTTCGTGTCAAAAGAGTTAGCGAGTCGCGAACGAAACTCGGTTTTTCCGTCGTTTACTTCGCTCGTGACCACTACGAAATGGAAACGACGAATCGCACTGGCTGGGGGGTGCTCACCCTTCGAATCGCCGCGGTAAATTATTAACGTCGCGTGTCGACCGCCCCAGTATCGATTCGTCCGGTATACCACTCGTTCCCTTTTTTCCTTTTCGGAGATGCTCGTCCCTTCAATTTCTAGGCGGCGCTCGTTCCACGAATCACGAAAACACTCCGCCACTTCTAAACGGCTGCTTTCCTTCGGACAAATGAAATTTGTGGCTCCTTAAACAGCTACGAATTGTGGTATTGGATCTGGAAATTTTTAATAGATCAATTTGAAAGTTCGCAAATTCCTCCTCTTTTCAAATAAACAAGAGTTTAACACTGCGCAATGTAAACTTGCTATTTCCAGGAGAGAAAATTATCCGTACATTACGCCTCGTGTTTCTCGTAGGTTTGATACGCGTTTCTACTAACAGTTAGAAATGCGAAGATGGACAAGTATGCACAGAGCAACGTGGAGAACAATCGTGTTCCAGTTGCTGGTTCGAAGCGTTCCATCGGTTTCGCATGCTCTCCACGTCATTAAACCAACTGAGCCGATTTAACGGACAATAAATTATGCAGTGTTCTCCGCGAGCGGAGGGGTTACGCGAATACGAATACGTGTTTATTGGTTTATTACGAATCGCGGTGCACGTCGCTGCTTCCGGACCGGGTCGAGCCATCGCGTTGTTGGAAATCGTGGGGGACCTCAGTTTCCTCTTGGCCGCGGCCGAATTTCGAACATGTGACGTGTATTTATTGTCCAATTACATCCTACATTTGTTACATTCCCTGCAGGTGCGATTAAAAATCCTGCGTAATATATTAGCACGAGTACCGTAACAATTTTTAATTCTCTTTCGGAACTTATCCGGATCGATTTCTGTTTAAATTTGGGTTGCAATTTATGGGTCACGGTGTTTCATTGAGTGACAGAAAAATTTTTAACCGTTTGGTAATCAATTTATCTTTTATTAATGATAAATGATTGTTTCTGTTACAGGTATAATGAAGAGAGAAGCTGATGCAGGCGCCATGACAGGTTCCGGAGGGCCAACAAGTCCTCACAAGCGTTATAGACAGGGTGACGATGAACTCCGTCTTCTTATTCCCAGCAAGGTAAGATTAAAGTCAATTTATATATAAAGAACTACCTTCCTCCACTTCTATTACGTTCAATATATCATAAAACTGCAATTTGGACAAGTTTCCAAGTAGGAGTAACTATTGCACGATTGTTTGCAAACTTTCTTCTAATAAGAAGTCCTCGGTTACCATCACCTTTCTCGTCTTAAATTGCAGAAGATAAAATGTAGGATATTAGTCTCTGTTGAGCCATTTTCTGTGAAAATGATGTCAGCGAGAATGACTCGAGCAAGATCGAACAGCCATATCGAAGAAAGCGAACTTTTACTTTCACGTTTCGCTTTGACCATTTACCATGTCCGTACGGGAAATGGTTTACCAAACAAGAACTTTTTCCAGTCGTTTCACCTCGCTATACAAGGTTCTTAGTTCTCGATATTGTTGAAGCAAAAGTTTAGCCCGGTACGCGTGTTAACTTCCGGCGACACGTTCGTAAACTTCCGTTCATTGTAATCGTTCCCGACGAGCTTTTATTGGATCCGTGTCCACTCTCCGTCGTTCGATTTCGTTTTCATCGATATCTGGATCCTCGACAGGTGGTCGTGCACCGCCGATCGAGTACAATATCGATCGTCGTTAACCACGCAATCACGGGATGTCAGGGTCAATCGACTGTGTGGAAGTTGGGATCGTTCCTTTCGAGAGTGAACTCATTCACGGTGACGGAGAACGCAATTATCGCGGATTGTGAGCCTCCATTGCGTGCCGTTTTGCAATACCTCGATCAACTTATCGCCGCTAATCACTGGAACGTGCGCACCTTCCAGATCGAATATCTGACCTTCTAATGCGTTTCTTATTCTCACGAACGGGGAAATGTCGTTCGCTCTTAGTTTTGGGTCATGTTGCCTTTGGACCTTTCGAATCTTCGTTTTGGCTCGAGTTAGTTTTGGACGGCGTTTGTTTAGACACGCTTTGAATCGTTTAGCTTTGAGTCATCTTGGATCGACTTAACTTTCAATTACTTTAGATTTGGATCAACTTACCCTAGATTTGGTTTTTTAGTTTGGGATAATTTGAACCATCTTCGGTCTACATTTGACCTTTTCCTTTAGGGAAAATGTATTTTGAGATCACACTATGGATCCTCCAAGATTTTAATCTAGGTTAGTATCACTCGAGATTTAGGTCACCTTAGTTTAGGATCATGTCATGTTCGAATCACCTTAGTTTTAGATCGTCTTCAATTTTAATTACATTATTTTAGAGTCACCGCTGCTCTCCCTTATTTTAGCGTCACTTTAACTTGGGACGATCTTAACTTGACGTGTCACTTTTGATCGGATTAAGGTTATGATGGAAGAGCAGAATTAATAAAACAATCTGATAAAGAACAACTACAGAATTAGTACCTTTGCTCGACGTATTGTCGGTGCTTATTATTAAACGAGGACTTTTGAAATTAATTACATCGAATGTTTATAACGCAGTCTGTACATTTTATTGTGCTAATAAAGTTCCATTAATCACGAAATAGCTGGAACGATTAAACTCTTGACCAAAATGGAACAATTATTTGTTACAGGTAGCCGGTTCGATAATCGGCAAGGGTGGCCAGAATATCACCAAACTCAGGAGTCAGGTAAGCCTTTTTGCACCTGTATCTCGTTCGTCGATAAAGTATGTGCTATCCCTTCTTCTCTCCCTCGGTGTCGAAGGACAGAAGAAGTCGTGATACGAACGGTTCCATCGTACATTTATGTTACACGAAAGAAGAAGATCGTGAGAATAGAATGATTAAAGGAGATCGATTCCTTGATTCAGCGATTCGGTTGATTTTTCATCCTCTCCGCTTCGATGAGAATATTTATTTTCACGAGCTTCTCGTTAGATTAAAGCTGACGCGCGTTCCAATTAGGCGAACGTGTTATCTCGTCGATTCTCGACTCGATATAGTTAGCTGGAATCTTAGGGAGATTACGAACGAGTAAAAGTCCGAAAATCGTGTCGGCACTGTGCGTTCTGTTACACGTAATCGAACAGATGCATCGTACAATACATCTTCGTGGAGCATTTGGTTCTTGAAGCGGGAAGTTTCGTCTCTGGTAATTCGTTGCGTTCGCTTCCTTGATTCTCGATCACGTTGCTTTACGGTGTAATCGAGACGATCGTGAGGCCGAGAAAACACGTGGGCGTGATACCGCATGCGTCCCTGAACGGTTGATTAAAAAGATGCTGCCCCGAGCGTCGACCGGTAAAGCCTGTTGCACGCTTGCGCGAATCGAATCGGCTTCGATCCAATTCGATTACCTTCAATCGCTATAAAAACACCCTACCGCGAACGTACATTCCTTGGAACACTGAAAATTCCTCCAATATTTATGCGAGGCGCTATCGCTCGGAATTTATTCGATCGCGAATTGAATTTGCTCCCGTCACAGTTTCGTGAAAACACGATTTTCCCATTTAGAAGCGTTTAAAAATTTTAAGCGGCCCGGAGAGATTTCCAATATTATATTCTGTACTAGGAACGTAGGGATTTTGGGGTAAATATAGGCATAGACCGGAGATAAATATATGCATCGAAGGATTTAGGGTTGTATCGATCTGGGGGTAGATCTAGTGCTACAGTGATTTAAAAGCGAGATATTTACGAACCCATATCGGTATTATAATGCAAATTAAATATCCATTTCCCTTTCTGATTCGATTAAACCGTGCAACAGGTTTCGAACGGTCTCCTCTCGATCGATTTCCTTGCGTAACATCGATTGTTTTCCACGGCGATTATTTCGTTTTCTTTCTCACCGGCCTCGAGACACCGAAGAGACTCACCCTACACACGAACCAAATGATCAAGGAGAGCGTTAAATATGTATGTAATAGGTCTGAGTTGATCGTGCTCGAGGAAGCCCAACCGCGAGCTCCTCGCGGGCAAATCTCGACGCACGCTTCGAGAACGCTCTCAGTAATTATCCGAAGCGGTTTTGAACGCGAGCTTAAGCTCCTCTCGACGACACTTAAGCTCGTGTTTCGATTTCGACCCATATGCAGATCATATTCGATCGTGGACACAATATACAAATCGTACACACGATTCCATGTTATTTCTTTCTGTTTTTTTTCTGTTTTATTTTTTTTTTACACGATAGACAGCGATACGGAATCGGATCAGGGACAAACCGGAGAGTGGAATTGATGCCGGCAACGCGTTTGGTTAATTTGATGCGTGATTAAACATTTTGATTTTTAACTTATCGTATTGTCGACGTTTTCTGAATAATTCTTGTAAAAAAACTAGGTGGTGTACCTTGACATGTAATTGTTGAGCAACCGGATTGCCTAATGATAATTAATGTCTCTTTGATATTGAATTGAAAAGTAGGTTCATGAGATTGCGAGATTTGAGTTTAATCAGAATCAGGTGCTTTTTATTAACCTGTTTACTGAGGACGAATTAACTGGTTTAGCTGGTTGATATTCAGAATCGATTATATCAGTTTTTCACGAAGCATTGCAGGGGAATAGATATGTTATCCAACTGATATAAAAGTTAATTCTCGGATTTCTTTGTTATCGGATTACGCGATAAAAATGATAGCGTATAATACGGGTTCGGTGTAAGAAGAATAAAAAATTAACGAAACGCAGAAGGGTCATCTCTGCTCGATTTTGTCCCTGGTCGCACATAATATGGCCGAGCGGCGATGTTCGCGTGTCAATTTTGAGATTCGTAGGTAAACGCACCTGCGTGACCCCAGGGTGGAAGGCCAGGTATCCTTCGGGAGCGAAAAAGAGAGAAGAAAATCTCTGGGAAAATGAAGTCTCACCGGGGAAATAATTTTTCGCTTTTTTTATGCGTACAAATATCAGAGGTGGTTCCCTTTGCAGCGAGCACCCCCGTAGCGATTACCGCGTTTATTGTATATGGGGAAATCGTGTGCTTTGGGAGAATCTTATCGATTTGTTTGTTAGACAGCGTTGGACCATTAACAATCGAAACAATTACATAACTTATGGAGAAGTATTTGCAAATGTCATCCATGCATGATACGTTCGACGACTTGTAATTTATTCAATTCATGACAGTTGTAAGAAATACACAGCGATATCGTAAAATTTGTTTCCCCAGAAGTTTGATTATTGGAGCACGAAAACGTTGCCAGTGAGAAAGTTAAGAAGTTAAAACTATCGAGGGTATCAAAATAATTTGATAGGGTTGATGACATTATCAGCGAAAGGGTTGACACTCACCGGTGAACGATAAGTCGATTCACGATTCGTGGCACGTAGTCGACGAGCTCGAAGTAGGAAGGGTCCGAACGCTCCGCGAAATTGCAAGTTAATTATTAAAACTTCCTTTAATTAGCCACGCTTAAGCGGCTTCGTTAGCAATTGAAATGCCGTTGCGAGCATCGACGTCGAGGTTCAGCCAGCGTCAATTAACTGCGGGATGGGCTTGGAAAGCGTTTTCAGAATATTTACAAGTGTCCGGAAATAATGGACTTCGTTTCTGACAGACGGTCTGTGTGTCTGATGTCGACATTTCACGGAGCGCCATCTTGACTCGCCAATTTTTTTAATTAACCTATTGATTCGTTGAAGCTACTACAAATTATAAACTCCGCGTCTATTAAAAAGTAAAATTAATCTAAAATATGACTAAACAGCCACTTTCTCGATGAAGTCTAACCATAAAAATTCCATAATAAATTAAACGAACGTATCAACTGGTTGCAAATATTTCTCCAGCCGTAAAAAGAGAATAAAATAGGTAGGTTAGGGTGGGATGCCGCGTAAAAGAGGGGCGCAAAGCGTAAGCGGAAGGGTTATTAGAAGATTAAGCCGCGAATAAATAATCCATCCGTGAGAGACGCGATGTCTAACTTGGTTGATGATTTGTGCCCTGGCCCCGCCCCAACCCCGGCGTTGCCCCCCTGGTGTTGCCCTGCCGTTGCCCTGCCGTTGCCCTGCCCGGAACGACGGACCCTGACTC